TGCTTTCAGAAGAGCAGTCTTGGATTGTCCCGCTTTCTCCCCAAAGTCTATAAAGCTGTGTAGAACCAATTAAAATCCACCAAGCCATGCAAACTCCAAAGGTTTCTTAAGATGAAGTAGGGATCTGTCAAAATGTTTCAGTATATAAAACCTTTTGCTTCAAGGCTCAGTGACACTTTCCCATGCAATATTCCAAGCACCAACCCAGACTGGAAGAGAGCTCCATTAGACATTTGTTGCTTTTATGATGCCTACAAGCACCTACAGATGTGATCTCACGTAATGAAGCATGTGGCCCTAAGCTGGAATTATTTGCAAACAGCAGGATCTCCTGGCGGTAGAAGTAGCTCTTGCTGTGTTATGGAGGCTACCCCCTCCTGTAAAGCCATGTTTGGTTAACACCTTACCCTGCTGCAATTGGCACAGCACATTTTCAATGGGATTGGTGCCAAATAAACAGATGGTAATTAATAGAGCCATGCCAGAGGAGGACAAGTATGTTCATTGAATTTGAACATTAGAAAGATGTGCCCTTCCAGGAATGTAAAAATGGCAAGCATCATAGAGAACTTTAAAATAAATCTTGGGTTAAGAGAGTGTGTCAGCCCTCTGAATGAAAAACTGCTAGCTGTGGCTCAGTGGAACAACTTACTGGTATTAGATCTCTCTGTGGTTTCTACCAACAAGTTATGTAACAAAAGCTAAAAGAATCCAATTCCCACCCACTGCAAGGCTGGATCTACTGCATTATATGGTCAGTGCAGACCCATGTAATGTGATTTAACTGCATTGAACCACATAATATGGGTCTACACTGACCATATAGTGCAAACTGCATTATTTGGCAATGTAGATCCAGTCTATGTTGAATCCTAATTGTTTTATCTGATGTGTGTGCATCAAGTTGTTTCTGAGTTATAGCAACCCTAAAGTGCACCTATCCCAAGGTTTTCTTGGCAAGATTTTTTTTGGTGGTGGGGAGGTTGCCTTTGCCTCCCTTTGAGGCTGCGGGGGCATGGATTCAAACCTAGGTCTCTAGAATCATAGTCCACTATTCAAACCACCATATCATGTCGGCTCTCTTTTAACTGTGTAATACTGTATTTTAATGGTCCAGTTTCATGGAACTTTTGTAATGAGGTAGCTTTGTATTATATTATATTATATTATATTATATTATTTATGATATTTCTGTCCCACCTTTCTCGGATCCGAAAGTGACTCAAGGCAATTTTACAAGCAACTTTATATCCAATGATGATGATGATGATAATGATCATGAATTTATTACCTGCCTCTCCCTTTGGCTTGAGGTGGGATACAACATCATTAAAACAAAAGATTAAAAAATGACAGCAAAATACATGGAGTTAGAATACAAGTTAAAATCCACTGATGAAATGCAGATTAAAATTCACAACTTAAAATTGACTGGGTTGACTTGCCAGAAGAGATGGATCTTCAATTGAGTCTTAAATTCTGTCGGCCAATTTATCTGTTGAATCTCTTCCTTCCACAGCTTTGGGGCAGCTGATGAAAGGATCCTATGGGTAACAGTTGCCAGAGGCATTCTTCCCAAGATGTGATTCAAGGAGGCTTACAGCAGTTAAAGTAAGCTGAGGGTGAAGGAGACAAGGAGAGAAACTGGGACATTATAAAAGTAGCTGAAAGGTAGGATAAGAAGAACATTAGTTGTGACTGTTGCTGCCAAATCAAGACAGTTGAAAAGTATACAAGAATGCATCTCTTAACAATGCATTCCATTTTGCAATTCATTCTACTTGCAACAATTCCATAAATGGACATGTTATGAAAATGAATTGTGTATTTATTTTAATAATGAGATTTCAATCTCACCCCCAAAGTGTGACTTCATGTTGGGGAGCAGGATGGGCAATACTGGAGCCACCCAAAGAGTTCTGTTGCCACCAGCAAAGACTGTCTGCTGCTACATATTCCCACCGTGTTAGTAGTAATGGTGTTGTCTGTAATGAAAGCAAATATTAGAGTATCTTTCTAACCCTACAGACTAACAGAGCATCATATTTCCTTAGAAGTTCAAGTCCAACACACTGGTTCTGCCTTCCCTTTTTATGTTGATAATCTTTCTGTGAGGTGAGTTTGGCTGAGTGCCTGAACAAGGGTTTAAGCCAATTTCTCCTTGGTTATAGATAGCCTCAGAAACACTGTGCTAGACAATCTGTTCTGGTTTTCTCTCTCTCTCTCTCTCCATTGTGCCAGAGACAGGCACCATATGTGTACCTACTAACGAGAACTGTTTTTGTTTGTTTTTTTCCCTTTCCTGAAAACTGATTTTGGTCCAGCAGCCAATTGCTTAGTGATCAACACTGATCCAATACTGCACTACACAATTACAGTAATTCGATAAGATTTTGACTGCCAAAAACCCATTCTATGGAGTCTTGGAATTTATAGTTTGGTGTTACTCTAAAAGAGTTTTCAAGCTATGAATGCCAAATACTCCCTTTCCTAACCTCAAATTCAAGGTGCCATTGGATTTTGTCATGGCAGTTACAGTGAAATCATAGTGTTATTGTTGGGATTTCAGCTAGGACTGCAGATAAAGTGATCCGTGCCCAGTGAGCTTCCACTAAACTAGATTGGCCAGGACAGAGAGCAAGCACTCTGTGTTGAAGGCAAAGCTTCAGAGGTTTATTCAGTTTGGCCAAAAGGGATGCAAATACCAGCAAGCACTTCAAAATGTACAAGCATAAATTTACAAAAAAATACACAACATTTTATGCAGTGCTGACAGCTGTTCAGACTTCCCGCGCCCCCTCCTGATTTGCTGAGAAGCCATGCCAGCTAGGATTCACACAGGCATTGGCTTGGGATGATGCGAAACCAAAGAGGATGATGACATAGGTATGCAGATGATTACTTGGCTGACTTAAGTGTCCAGTTCCATAGAGACAATGGTGAAAGACCCACAGGACAAAGGGTGACAATCGCAAATAACGAGTGACTGACCTACTGTATTCGTTTAGCCTTCTCTTCCATGAGGATGGCAGCCTGCATCCTTAATTGAACAGGAAAACATCTTAAGCTCAACTTGGTGACATGCACACACAAAAGATTTGATTTTATCTGGCTTGTGAGATTGCTAGAAGGACCCTTTTGTTAATTGTACGGCAATCTCCATACAATTCACCTGATGACCCAAAATACAGACTGTGCAAGGAAGCAGATGAAACCATTGGTCATATCCTCAGCTGTTGCAAGAAAATCACACATACGGACTACAAACAGAGGCACAACTCTGTGGCCCAAATTATACACTGAAACTTATGTCACAAGTACCAACTACCAGAAGTAAAGAATTGATGGGATCATAAACCTGCAAAGGTAGTAGAAAATAAACACGCAAAAATACTGTGGGACTTTTGAATCCAGACTGACAAAGTTTTGCAACACAATACACCAGACATCACGACTGTGGAAAAGAAAAAAGTCTGGATTATTGATGTCGCCATACCGGGTTACAGCCGTATTGAGGAAAAACAACAGGAAAACCCAGCCGCTATCAAGACCTCAAAATTGAACTACAAAGGCTCTGGCATAAACCAGTACAGGTGGTCCCAGTGGTCATTGGCACACTGGGTGCCATGCCAAAAGATCTCAGCCAGCATTTGGAAACAATGCACATTGACAAAATCACAATCTGTCAACTGCAAAAGGCCACCTTACTTGGATCTGCACGCATCTTTCGAAAATATATCACACAGTCCTAGACACTTGGGAAGTGTTTGACTTGTGATTTTGTGATACGAAATCCGGCATATAGATTTCGTTTGCTGTGACATATTGTGATTTTGTGTCAATAATAATAATAATAATAATAATAATAATAATAATGGAACTTGTGCCACAAATACCATCTGCTTGCAACAAAGAACTGATAGGATCACAAGCCGGACAAAGTTACAGAGAATGAACACATCAAGGTACTCTAGGACTTCCGGATTCAGACAGACAAGAGTTTTGGAGCACAATACTCCTGACCTCACAATCATGTTAAAAAACATAGTATGGATTGCCGATGTTGCAATCCCAGGTGACAGCAGAACTGAAGAGAAACAACTGGAAAAGCTGACATGATATGAGGATTTAAAGATCGAACTGCAAAGACTCTGGCACAAGCCAGTCAAGGTGGTCCCAGTGGTGATCGGCACACTGGGTGCAGTGCCTAAAGACCTTGGCCTGCACTTAAACACAATCGTCGCTGACAAAATTACCATCTGCCTGCTGCAAAAGGCCATTGGGATCTGCATGCATTATTCGCCAATACATCACACAGTCCTAAACACTTGGGAAGTGTCTGACGTGTGATCCAGTACAACAGCCAGCAGAGTGTCTGCTGTGGACTCATCTTGTTGTGTTTCTAATAATAATAATAATAATAATAATAATAATAATAATAATAATAATAACTTATTTATATCCCCACCATCTCCCCGATGGGGACTCGGGGCGGCTAACATGGGACCAAGCCAGAACAATGACATCAAATCAAACGAAATACATAAACAAACAAATTAATACAAAATCAAATACAAGAAACAAAATAAACAGAAAAAAGAATAAATAAAAAAATGTGCACAATATCTGCTTTGAAGTGGGTTATCTAAGTCCACACAGTCATTTCACCCAGGCCCTTCCACACTGCCATATAACTCAGAATATCAAGGCAGGAAATCCCACAGTATCTGCTTTGAACTGGGTTATTTGAGTCCACACTGCCATATATTCCATTCAAAGCAGATACTGTGGGGTTTCCTGCCTTGATATTCTGAGTTACATGGCAGTGTGGAAGGGCCCCTAGTTCAAAGCAGATAATGTGGGCTTTTATGCAGCTGTGTGGAAGGGGCCTGAAAGTGGTGCCAAGCTGTTTCAGATTGACCTTCTCCCTCCACTCCTTTCACAAAAGTCCTCCCCTCCCCCGCCCACCACCAGCATCCGGGAACTTAGGGTATGAAGCAACGCGCCTTGTGCGCATGCGCGGTGTGGTTTGCAGTTCCTTCGACCTCTACCGCTGCACCACCCGGTGAAAGGAGCTGCTGCTGCTGCCGCCGGGTCAGTGCTAGGCCAAGCCAGGCCCCTTTCCCTGCCTCGGATTCCCTCCTCCGTCCGCCGAGGGGGACGCCTAACGGTCTCTTTTCTCCCCCTGCAGCAAGCAAGAAGGCCCCGGGACCCGCCACGCCGCCTCCGCTTCCTCCCCCACCGACAGCAGCCATCATGTTCGCCTGTGTCAAGCTCGCCGCCGGCTCTCCCGCCTTGGTGAGTGAGGAGGGGGAGGGCTCTAGGCCAGGCAGAACTGCCCCCTCTCTCCTGCTATTGCCCTTCTTCTCCATGCGCCCACCCCTTCTCCACTGTCATTGCTTGCCATGGGTGAACCTACACTGCAGAATTAAGGCAGTTTGACACCGTTTTAACTGCTGTGGCTAATGTTGTGGAGAGTTGTAGTTCAGAGAGGCACCAGCCCACTTTAGCAGAGAAGGCTGAAGGCCTTGTAAAACTACAACTCTCATAAATCCATAGTATTGAGCCATGGCAGTTTAAGCGTTGTTAAACTGCATTGATTCTGCAGTGTAGATGCACACTATGCCTCCCTCTTCATTGCCTTTGCTTCCATGCCCCTCTCTTTCTTGCCCTTTTCTCTTTCCACTGCTTTATCTTTCTAACAGCCCTTCCAGACAGCCATATATCCCAGAATATCAATAAAATTCCTCAATATCTGCTTTGAACTGGGTTATCTGAGTCCACACTGCCATATACTCCAGTTCAAAGCAGATATTGTGGGATTTTATTCAGATGTCTGGAATACGCCTTAGCCTCCCTCTCTAGTTCATTTGTTTTCCATGCTTTCTTCTCCATTGTCCTTGCTTTCCCTTCCCCATTTCTTTCTTCCCTTTGCGTTCCATGCCTCTTTCCCCCATTGCTTTTATTTTCTATGCTTCCTTCTCTGTATTGCCCTTCCTAGGGGTCACCGCCTCTTCCTCCTTTCCAGGAGGCCTCTGGGGCGGAAGGGTAATGTCTCTTGCAGGCCCCACTATCCCTGCTGCAGCTTGTTCTCCCCACTGTTTCTGGATGGCCCTCCTGGCCTTTTCCAGCTCTGTGATTTTTATAAAAAAGGAAAGGCTCTGTTTGTAAAGTGTCCTTGTGCCGCGGGAAAAGGCTGGAGTGGAAATCCATGTGACCTTAAGCAAGTAGGTGGTCCAAGGACACACATAGGCCGCAAACCGGGCCATTTTCCTTTCCAACAGTCATTCATTCCTTAGGCCTTCCTTACAGTCTGCGCTCACAGTCAGTTCAAACTGGAAATGTCAGCCAGCGTGTTTGGGGATTTTGAAATGGCTTCCTCCCTCAAGAAGTGATTTTCTGGAGTTGTTCTGAGTATAGTTTTGATCCGGAGGATACACATTCTTAAGAGAAGTTTAGATTTAATTTCTTTGGATCTGCCTTTAGAGTAAATCTGGTTAGAATTAGAATGTCGGAACTTCTTTTAAAGTCCTGTAGGATTGGAGGCAAGTGACCTGAAGGTCATATGGTACAATGGCAGTTCAGCACTCTGTATCAAGATGCATTCTTAATAAAGTACTTCATACTGCCTAAGAGCATTGTATTTTTTCAGGAGTGTATATTCAGTGAAGTCAAGAGAATATTTGGCTCTGTATTGTTTGGTTGTAATGTCAGAGAAGAGGCCAGAAGCTAGAATTGCTAACATAATCTCCTGCTCTAACTTGGCTCTAACAAGTGTCATTAAAGAACTTGTCCTTTATTTAATCACTAGCCGTCCCCTGCCACGAGTCGCTGTGGCCCAGTCTGTGTATATGTGTTTTGTGTGTTTATATATTTGTGTATATATGTGGTTTTGTGCATGCATTTTAATTGGGTTTTTTTTTTTTTGCTTTTTAAGTCTCTTCTGTGTTTTACAGTGTTTTTATGAGTGATGGTCACTCATTGGCCTGATAGGTGTTTTATGTCCAAAATTGGTGTCAATTCGCCCAGAGGTTTAAACAAACATTACATTTAATTTTATAGTTTCAGTATAAATTTAAAATGGACATTGCCTGTTGTGGAATCTTACTGAGCAACACAGAAAAGAAATCAAGTTTTAGTCCCTTTCTATACTGTCATCTATCCCAGGATCTGATCCCAGATTATCTGTTTATCCCAGATTATCTGGCAATGGAGTCTCATATAATCTAGTACAAAGCAGATAATCTGGGATCAGATCCTGGGGTATAAGGACAATCTGGAAGGAGCCTTAGTGTTCTTTCAGTGCTGTGATTTCATTATAGTCAGAAATAACAATACTCTTTCTGTCCCTCACATGCACACATTTTACTGTGAATTTGCCTGATATAGAGATGCAATTTGTGTGTTTAGTTCCAGCTAAATGAACTGGGTTCTCTACATATTTATTGAAAGTGAATGTCAAGCTTTCAGACCAGTTGTGTTGAAGACACTTTTGCTGTGGTCAGCGTACAGGCTGTGTAGAGATTAACATGCCAACTCTTTAAAACTTTTGCAATCTTACATGCTTGAAGAGATCAAAGCAGTATTTCCTCTGCCGTAATGGAGATAACGAATTCTTCAGTTTAAAAATCACTGGGATGTTTGTGTTTTTATTTTATGTATTTATTTTAATACTCTTCCTCTTTCAGATGCGTATGGGATCAAGAGTTCTTTACAGACCAATTTCTGCAACAGTGTTGTCTAGGCCAGAAGTCAGGACTGGAGAGGTACCTTAAACAATTCTGTAGCTTCCTTAAACTATCTGGTGAGCCTGTAAGTTCTTGTCCTAGTAACCATTAACCACAACTAGTATTAAACTGTAGTTATGGCAAAGGCATGATACCTTTTGTGTAGTTTACAGTTTCTCACCTCCCTGCCCCTATTCACCCCAAAACTTTATGTAAATCTGACTTATATGCAACCTTAAAACTGCTCTCTAGTTTCCAGGTGGTCTTTCACTGCATTGGGATCAACTGCTTGAATTTCTTCCCTTTCTTTCTTTAGGTCATAACTTGTAAACAAGACAGCAATTTAAGGCTTGCAGGTTCTCAATACAGTAGGAAAATAAGAGTAGCTTGCTATTAAGTACTTTTCCAAAGGTGTCTTAAAATCTTTATTTCTTTGATGTAGAATGTTGGTAGCTTTCATAATACAAATCTATAGCTATCCTTGCATTCAATTAAACTTTGTGGTTTTCTTCTTGTTTTTTATAGGGCAGCGCACTTTTCCTTACTGGGACTCAAAACACTGGCAGTCAACTAGCACTAAGGGAATTTCAAACAAGTGCTATCAGCAGGGACATTGACACTGCTGCCAAGTTTATTGGTGCTGGTGCTGCCACAGTAGGAGTGGCTGGTTCTGGTGCTGGTATTGGAACAGTCTTCGGGAGTCTAATCATTGGTTATGCAAGGTAACATATCCTAGATATTGAACATACATCAATATATGAATGTATCTTAGTTTCATTGTCCCACACTAGCTCTTAAAGGATGTAGATGCAAGAAACTATAACTCAGGTGTGGGCAAAGTGTGGGCTCCCAGGGGCCAAAAATGCTCATTAGAAGGTGTAGGGAGCATCTTCATAATGCTCCCTCCTTTGCAATAACGAAAGTCTTTTAAAAAATAAACTAGAAATTACTTCTGTTGACTTCGAATTAGTAAAAATAGTGAAAATTCCCTCAGAAGCCCTGATTGGGGGGCATTCTGGGCAAACACTTGGTGGGGTTTTGTGTGTGTGTGTGTGTGTGGTGGGGGTGTGCAGCCTCCAACAAGGTATTTTTGGCAGTATTGTAGCTCCCTGTGCTCCCACAGTTGTCCACCCTTTCTATCGTTCCTCCTTCCAGTTACTTTACCATAGTAAACTAGCCTTAGCTGTGAAAGCTAATATGTTCTATAAGGTTGGAAACGACAGCATGTCTACAGCTGTTGTCTTTTCTCTGGAGTTAAAGAAAGAAGTGCTGGCATATTGAGATTAAAAGGTATATTTGTGTAATGAGAGGAGACTGGTGATTGCTTTTTTATCATTTCCAAAAAAGCAAATGATAGCTGCCAAGAATGTAAAGGTAGTGAAATGTAATAATTCATTCAGTGCATTTCATTTAGTACATTTCTGACCCATGATGTGTGAGCGGTTTGCAAATTTAAAATAGCAAAGGGAAGGGACAGTTCAACAAATAGGTGAATACCATTAGTAATTAAGACCAGTGTACAAATTGTTGGCTTGCAGTTCCTTTCATCCCTCACCATTGGCTATGTTGGCAATGAAAGTTGGACTCCCAACAACACCTGAACTCACAACTTACCCATTCCTGGTTTAAGAGGATTGAGATATTTAAAATGCCTGACACCTAAAACACAGCACAGCTGGTGGACCACAAAAAGCTTGGGAACATGTTTTACAACTTGGGTACTGTGAGCAAAGAACCCTTGTCACTGAAAACAATATTTGTTTATGATAGGGATTGTAGTTGGAGAATCAGCAGATGGACTTAAAGCATGGGCAGGCCAGTAAGGGAAGAAGAATCTCCTCAGACAGAAAAGGAGGGTGCTCTTTTTAAAAAGTGCCTTGTTAGTTAAATTCTTAAGCAAAAACCTCTCATTGAATGGAAGCTGTTCACTTTAAAATCAGAAGGCTCTCCCTGTATGTTTAAATATACATGAAAGTGAGGAATGCATATTGTTGAGTGGTGTGTCCCTGACCAAAAAGAATTGAAAGTTTTTACTTTTCAAAAAGCCTCTGTCAGGAATGTATGATGTGGTCATATCACAACAGTGAAAAGGAAGCAGGCAGGGAGAAAGTACAGCTCAATAATAGTAGCTGGATAAATACTTCCATCTTTTCTCCTTTTTAATATACCTAAACCGATCCTTGTTGGTGGTGTAATAAGATCTAGGTTATGACAGATGAAACCAACTAGCAAAAGGGCAGCCTATATTAAAGCCCAGTGGCAAAAACTGTAACATTTGACAATGCCTATGAATCTAAATTGCAGTCTCGGGCAAATCTAGCTTCAAAATACATTTTCTTAAATCATAACTACAGTAATTACCTGCTTAATTAGCATGATTGTCAAAAATGAATATAGGCATTAGTGAGTTAGGAAGGAGTCTAATTAAAAACCATTGCCACCCATCAGCTAGCACCAAGTTCTTTAATCATGAAATTTCACTTTGAGTTTGAAGTGATTTTTTTGTAATAGGAACTACATGTCTTAAAAGGAAAATATCTTACTTTGCACAGTAAAGTTTTTGAAATAGTGTTCTGTATAATTAGGTTGGTAGTATTGGTCAGGATTTCAGATACGGTTGGTGCTTCAGGAACATAATTAGAAACCCCACTGTGTCACTTGCATCTTGGTTGTCTGTATGGACATTCAATTGAAACACTCTATCTTGCAGTAATCTGCAGAAATCAATTTTCCTAGCTTGACAAATGTAATGCTTAAAAGTGATGGCATTACTTTGGAGTCTGACACTATACTACGTACTTACAACTACCAACAAGCACCAGGTTGCAGGGTTTTTTGGGTTTTTTTGAAAGAATCAATTCTCTTGCAGCAAAACCAACTTGTGGCATCTTTTGTGTGTTTTTGGCAGGTCCTCTTTGCATGTGATGGAAATAGATGTCAGTCTGCAAAAGCTTAGACCAAATAAAACTTGACTCTTTACTGCTCCATGTGACTTTTTGTTTTTCTAATTGCAACAGAAGTCACGCTCAAGAGTTTTATAAATTGTGACAGTTGAACTGCTCTTCAATAAGCTCTGTCTTGCATTAAGTTTTTTAAATACATTGCTGTTTGATGAGGTGACTTGGAGTGCATTTTACACTGTACAATTAATGCAGTTTGAGCTCACTTTAACTGCCATGGCTCAATGCTATGAAATCCTGGAGTTTGTTGAGGCATCCGCATTTTTGGCATTTGTAAAATTGCTAATTCCTATGATTCTATACCATTGGGCCATGGTAGTTAAAATGGTGTCAAACTGTGTTCATTCTACAGTGTAGATTCACCCTTGGATATTCCGTTACACTGAAATAAGGAAGTTTTAACACTCCACTTGTTTTGAATTACCCAAAGCTCCAGCCAGCACAGTCAATCAGTAAGGAGCTAAGAGTTGTAATCTGAAACATCTAGAGGGTTGGTGATTCCTCATCCCTTTTAGAGGGTACTATACTGATGCATCTGTTTAAATATATTATTTTTATACAAAATTAATGTACATTTTGACTTTTTATTTTAGAAATCCATCCCTGAAGCAGCAGTTGTTCTCCTATGCTATTCTGGGATTTGCCCTGTCTGAAGCCATGGGTCTCTTCTGTCTGATGGTTGCTTTCTTGATCCTGTTTGCCATGTGAAGAGACCTTTTCATACTTTTGGCTTTAATGAACTACAATGTGATTCTGTGAACCTGAGGTCGGGAAAATGTTATCATGGAAATGTATGCTACTTCCAAAGCAGATTAATTAAAGATGGTAATAAGTTTAAACTGGCTGTGTCTTATTCTTGCATCATTGTTTTGGCCCAGAGACCATATGTCTGCATTTAATAGTCAGAAGCTTGTGTCAAGGTAATTAAAAGTAAAAAAAACAACAACAATGAAACACTATAGGTGATGACATGTTATATTGTGGTCATAATTTAGCTTAGTTGTGTATATGCTTTAACGTGTTATTTACCAAGGAGTAAGCCATGTATCAACAAGTGGAAGTAATGTCACTTACTGTTTGTCTGCTTTATTACATTGCCTAGCCGTGGTTCTTCCATAATCAAAGGAACTGTAGTTTGATCTGTGCATAACATGTAACAACTGAACATCTGTCAAGACTACCTGAAACCCTGCAGTAAAAAAATATATGAAGAGATCCTGGACAAAAGTTAGCAACTGTCTTTATCTTGAATCCTGATTTGGGAAATAATATTCATTATTTATTTATTTACCACATTTGTACCCTGCCCTTCACATCCAAAGGGGACTCAGAGCGGCCTTACAACAGGCAACAATTTGATACCATATACAATTAAAATACAATTAAAATCCAAGAAATTAAAACATCAATGATTAACACATCAATTAAAATCACGTAATCTAAATCATAATCCAGGACCATTCCATTAGTCAATCACATTAATTCACAGACACATATTGCACTGCTCCAATTACTGGTCAAAGGCTTGGTCCTAAAGCCATGTCTTAACTTTTTTCCCTGAAGGACAGAAAAGAGGGGGCTGATCTAATTTTTCTGGGGAGGGAGTTCCATAGATGAGAGCCCACCACTGAGAAGGCCCTGTCTCTCATCCTTACCAGTTGTGCCTGCGAAGGAAGTGAGACTGAGAGCAGGGCCTCCCTGGACAATCTTGGCCTCCAAGGTGTATTGTACTAATGAGCAACACATATCCCAGGGTGTTAATGCTGACATGATCAAATTGATAATTTATAGTGAAGAGTGTTTCGAAAGAAATGTTTATTCAAATCATCTGCTCACAGAGATCAAGCGTACTCACAATGCCTTTAATAGAAAATTCAGTATTGCTTTGAGAAGAGGCCTTTGTGAACAAATTCTGTAAAGAAAACCTCTTTAATCAGAAATTTGAAAATACACAACACCATTTGTGTGTGATGCTACACCAGGGCCACAGTTCAGATTGAAGGTTGCGAAAGGCAGTTCTCGTTACATCTAATAAAGGTACTTGGCTGTAGATTTTGATTGAGCTAATGACACAGCCATTTCAGCAAATGTATATCAAGGAAATCCCAATTTACATAAAGATCAGATAAATCTGAGCATGTTTGATTGGGTTGGGGAATATGTAGCCTTGCAGAAATTCTTTTGACGGCAACTCCTCTGGTGGGCTATATCATACCCATTGCTCATGCTTTTTTTCATATCAGAAGCGACGAGAAACTGCAAGTCACTTCTGGTGTGTGAGAATTAGCCATCTGCAAGGACGTTGCCCAGGGGACGCCTGAATGTTTTTGATGTTTTACCATCCTTGTGGGAGACTTCTCTCATGTCCCCATGGAGGGAGGTGGACCTGACAGAGGGAGCTCATCTGTGCTCTCCTCGGATTCGAACCTGCAACCTGTCAGTCCAGTCCTGCCAGCACAGTGGGTTTAACCCACTGCGCCACTGAGGGCTTCTATTGCTCATGCTAGCACAGTGTTTCTCAACCTGGGGGTCGGGACCCCTTTGGGGGTCGCGAGGGAGTGTCAGAGGGGTCGCCAAAGACCATCAGAAAACATATTTTCTGTTGGTCATGGGGGTTCTGCGTGGAAAGTTTGGTCCAATTCTATCGTTGGTGGGGTTCAGAATGCTATTTCATTGTGGGTAAACTATAAATCCCAACAACTACAACTCCCAAATAGCAAGGTCTATTTTCTCCAAACTCTACCAGTGTTCACATTTGGGCATATTGAGTATTTGTGCCAAGTTTGATCCAGATCCATCATTGCTTGAGTACACAGTGTTCTCTGGATGTAGGTGAACTACAACTCCAAAAAAAAACTCAAGGTCAATGTCCACCAGACCTTCCCAGTATTTTCTCTTGGTCATGGGAATTCAGTGTGCCATGATTGATTCAATTCCATCATTGATGGAGTTCAGAAGGCTCTTTGATTTAAGGTGAACTATAAATCCCAGCAACTCCAGCATTACCAAATGACAAAATCAATCACCCCCAACCCCACCAGTATTCAAATTTTGGACATATCGGGTATTTGTGCCAAATTTGGTCCAGTGACTGAAAATACATCCTGCATATCAGATATTTACACTACAATTCATAACAGTAGCAAAATTAGAATTATGAAGTAGCAACGAAAATAACTTTATGGTTGGGGGTCACCACAACATGAGAACCACTGTGCTAGCAGAATACAATAAAAAAATAACAACTTAAGACCAGAACTAGGTGAAATTCAGGATTTTGGGTGCATCTCCACTGCAGAATGAATGCAGTTTGACTCCACTTTAGTTCGATGCTATGGAATCCCAGGAGCTTTAACTGGACAGGTCCTGACTCCTTAGCCTTCTCATTAAGGCTCCCTCCTGCTGCCGAGCCGGCCACTCTTTGCGCAGGCGCGCGGGGGAGGGCGAGCCAGACGGGGCTGCTTCCGGCCACCCAGGCAGCAAAGGGTCCTCCTTGGCCCCGCCCCGCGGCGCCCGAAACCACGTGTCCTTTCCTCCGCCGCTCTCTTCCTGCCCCTCCCCTCCAGACCAGGTGACTCCGCCTCCTCCTGACCCCGCGGCGGCCGAGAAGGGGAGGAGGAGGGAATCAGGAGGAGAGGTGTCAATGAGTTCCCGCGAGATGTGACGGAAGCCTGTGGGGGACACGGGCTTTCATGTGCGGCTCGGCCAGCGGTCGTGAGGGGTGAGGCTTGTGTTTTTCTTTCGGGTAAACAGCAGAGCAGGCGGGGAAGCCGAGACCTCTCTCTAGCGGGAATGCTGCCTCTCGTAACGGGCTCCGGGCGTGGCTCCAGCTTAGGCGGGCCCTGCTCTGAGGAGAGGAGTACGAGGGGAGGCTGGAACATGGCGCCGCCGCCGCCGCTCCTTCTCCCCTTCTGTCAGGAGATGGGGGCTCTGTCCTTGCTGCACAGCGGCTGGGAGCTCCGCCGCCGTCCCTTGTGTATGGCTCTGGAGGGAGAATATGGCTTCCCAGCGGCGCTTTCTTCCCCTTCATACTTTGCCCTTGGGTCAGAGCCCTGTTATCCCCCTGGGAGGAAATCGCAGCATTGGATGTGAAGGTGCTTTTCCTTAAGGCTAGCTAGCAACAAAATGGAAATAGATCCTTTTTGGACTCTGGTCAACCCCGGCTCCCTCAAGGAACCGGCCCTGAAGGGGTTAGAATCCTGGAACTGAGGAAACCCAAGTGCCATCCAGTCCAGCCTCATCCTGCCAGACAGGAACACACAACCAGAGCAGCCCCGACAGATGCCCATTCAAGCCTCTGCTTACAAACCGTCAGAGAAGGAAATTCCACCACACTCCGAGGCAGCAGCAGATTCCACTGCTGAACACTTCTTACTGTCAGGAAATTATTCCTAATGTTTAGGTGGGATTTTCTTTCCTGCCATTTAAATCCATTGCTCTATTGCAGTGATTCTCAACCTGTGAGTCCCATAATAATAATAATAATAATAATAATAATAATAATAATCTTTTATTATACCCCACCACCATCTCCCCAGAGGGGACTCGGAGCAGCTTACATGAGACCAAGCCCGGTGATATATTACAGCAAAATAAATACAGAACAGCAGTTCCCTCGGCTGTGGAACTCCCTCCCTGTTGACATCAGGCAGGCGCCCTCCCTTATGGCCTTTCGTAGGGGCCTGAAAACATGGCTTTTCGAGATGGCATTCAATTGAGTGCTATGTCACTGGAAATGACAACTGGAATGGATTACGACTACGAGATTGGTTATGATTCCACGATAAGACGAAGCAGATTTTTAGTGTAACTAGATGTTATGTATTGTGATATGTTAGTTTTGGTGTCTTGGCTTATTGTAAATTGTTTTTTACGTGCTGTACACCGCCACGAGTCGCCCTAGGGCTGAGAGTGGCGGTTAATAAATGCAGGAAATAAATAAATAAATAAATAAATAAAATAACAAAGTATTGTCGAAGGCTTTCATGGCCGGAATCACTGGGTTGTTGTAGGTTTTTTCGGGCTATATGGCCATGTTCTAGATGCATTCTCTCCTGACGTTTCACCTGCATCTATGCAAGCATAGATGCAGGCGAAACGTCAGGAGAGAATGCCTCTAGAACATGGCCATATAGCCCGAAAAAACCTACAACAACCCAAAAAATAACGTAAAACAAGCAAATAAAATAAGACAGTGCAAAGTAACAGAGTGAAAAATCAAACACAGTGGGCAGGCTAAATGTATGACATAAAATGACAAAACTCTGGATGAGATAACAATGAGAAAGGTATATTTGTAAGGGAGGAGCTCGTAGGGGATGGAACAGTGGAGTCAGGCCTTCAGTAAGGTGTTCAGATGTTTTGGCCTTCCAACTCCCAGAAATTCTAACAGCTGCTAAACTGGCTGGGATTTCTGAAAGTTGTAGGCCAAAACACCTGGGGACCCACAGGATGAGAACAACTGCTCTATTGTTTCTTAGGGCCCTTCCAGACAGGCCCTATATCCCAGGATCTGATCCCAGGTTCTCTGCATTGAACTGGATTATATGAATCCTCACTGCCAGACACTCTGAGATAAAAGGAAAACCTGGGATCAGATCCTGGAATATAGGACCTGTCTGGGAGGGTCCCTAGTCTCTAAAGAAAAGACACAAAAGAAAGCTTGCCCCCTCCTCAGTGTATTTATTTATCGTGTCATCAGCAACCAGACATTTGTATTACATTTTTAACAAAAACAAACAAACAGACAGACAAAACATAGAATTTGTAAGCTTGGTAGTTGGCATCCTTTCAAATACTTAAACAGGACTCTCAGGCCCCCTTTAGCCTTCTTTTCTCC